GGTACATAAAATTTTATCGCATTTTTTATACCTTGTAACTAAGCTAAATAAATTTTCAATTTAAAGATATCTGTTTAATAATTCATTTATTAATTGGTTGCTTCTAATAACGCTTGGACAGAGCTTGCTAGCTACTGGCCTTGAGAATCGAGGCAGAAAGGTATGAGCTTTGATAAGAGTTTATCACTAGAGTGAAGGTGGGGCTTAGCTCAGAACCCCAACTGGATCAATGACAACACTACTCATTTTATTTTATTTTATAATCGACCTTCAACAAGCGACCCAATTCTGAGTTAACGACTATAAATTTCAACTCCATAGTCTTTAAATTTTAAACCCAATCCCGAAGACAACTGAACTCCTGAATCAAGCATTGCGAAAAATTTGCCTTCGACGAGCACTTTTTGATGGAACTAACTCGTATTTGCGTTACATGGAGAGGAAAACCACAAAACCCTCCCATGTTTAGCTTGGCAAGGGTACTCTAACACATAATCCGTTAAAACGATTCGACTGATTTTGCTGAAATTTTGTATGTTATTATATAAAATTAAATTCTTTGAAATTATGTAAAATTAATATTCCTTACAATTTAAAAAATTTTCGACTACTACTAAATAAAATAAAAAATAATAAATACTTATAAAATTTTTTTTCCACGAAATATCTTTGGATAAAGGAATTTCATAATTGTGTTCAAAAATGTTTCGATTCGTTGAAAAAAGTTCTCGATATATGGCGTAATTAACTTGGAAAGTAAAATTAAGTAAAATTAACTTACGACGTTTTCCTGACCAAAATATTGGACCACATTTCTCAGATAGTGGTTACCCTTTTTTGAGGGTTTAGAATCCAAATCAGTCACAAAAAAAAAGAAAGGAAAAAAAGAAAAAGAGGCGTGTAATTTCAGAGAAAGTCCCTTTTCTGTACCTGATTTCGTATGGGGTCATCGTCTCTACTATTAAATTAGCCCATTATAGATAAATCTCTCTAACTATTAAGATTGAATCCTAATTCGAGAAAATCTGATCATAAGTTCAAAAGTTATTCCGGATGTTTTGTTTTTCCTGCAATGCTTACATAATTAATATATAATCCACATTTTTTTATTAAATATAAGTATATATAAATACATTTATTAGTAAATTGTCGATGAGATTCCCTATTTGGGCAGAGCTCGAAATGCGTAATGAAGAAAATGAAACAAACTCAAAAGACGTAATGAAGAAAATGAAACAAACTCAAAAGGCGTATTTATGAAAATGAACTGAGCTCAAAGAGCATAATGAAGAAAATGAACACGGTTCAAATTGTGTATTTAAAATAGTGGATGTAGCTTAAACCGTGTATTTCAAAGAAGAAACGTGGTTTGGTTAAAAATGCGTATTTTTAAAAATGGGCATAGGGTTTGATTTTCAAACTACTCTTACGAGTATTGTTTTTTTATTTATTTTTTTTTCGGTTTAACTAATGAATATAACTAATGTTATGTTTAACTAATGTTATGTCATCCATTTATTTAAGTCATTTAATATTTTTTTAAAAATTTAGTTTTTTAGCTTTACTGGCTTTAAAGGTCTACAGTTCATTTTACAGGGTAGCAGTTTACAGGGAAAAAAGTATAAAAGTTATAAAATATTATATGCTTGAAGAAATTTTGTTTCTAAGTATCCTTTTAGAGTGGATTTATATGTTTTCGATAATTATCGTTTACGTTAAATACTTTACTTTTACACTTCGACGCTGGAGTCCGGGAATTTGCTCTTAATGACTATGAAAAAAATAAGCTAATTCCCTGGTTGGTTCAGCTGTTAAAACTTATGTTTAGAATCTGTCTTGTTGATTTTTTTAACCTTGTCAATTTCCTTAAATACGCATTAAAAGTTATGTCCATTCTTTCATTATGTGCTGTGATCATTTTCTTAAATACGCATTTTGAACTATGTCCATTTACTCAAATATACTTTTTAAGCTGCGTCCCTTGTCTCAAATATGCATATTAAGATCTGTTTATTTTCATAAACGCACATTTTGTGCTATAATATCCAAAATAAAAAACGGATAGATATAATACTAGCAAAAATATTAGCTTTATTTGATAAAATTCAATTTTATTGACATCTTTCTTGGTGAGAAATTGAAGTGATAAGAGAGGCTCAGCTCAACTTCCTTCCTTTTTTACCTATAGGATAGAACTGCCTCCAAATTTGATAGCTGAAAAAGTTTGAAAAATACTTAACATGAAAAAGTAAATAAAGTAAAAATAAACCACCTCTTAGATCCTCTTAAATTAATCGTAATGCTGCCATCTATCGTCCACAGAACGCACTAATTTTTAACTTGCACAAAATATCTGCCCATGAAAGGTGGGATCGAAGCGGAAAGTAGCGAAAAATATAGTACGTCTTCAATATCCCATTTAAATATGATGTAATATATACTTTAATTAAAAAAAAATATAGCAGAAAATTATTTAAGGAAGCTACATAAAGTGATAGACCCTTAATGTCTTAAAATGTTTAAAAATGTATTCTTTAAGGAACATTTTTGAAAAATTTACTAACATTAAATTTTTTAAAAAAACTTCTTCTTCTGTGTAATTCGCAATGTTCCCACTTTAAACGAAACATATTCAACTAAAAATAATTTTATTTAAAGGCAAATGAACAAAATAATAGTTATAAGCATTTTTTTAAAAAATAAATTAAAGATTTTATCAGATATAGATTAAAGATTTTTTTAAATTTTTTGATTTAAATTTTTTTCATACTTATAGATTCAGATAAATTTTACATCTTAATTATATAATTACACTGCACATTTGAAGATAAGTTTGAAAAGGAATTTCTAATTGATTATTTAATTAATCACCAAGATATTGAAAACATAGAACCTTAGAAACCTTTATCTAATAACTTTTATTAAGTTATTGTTAGGAAATTTAATTTATCTTATACTAAATAATAAAGAGTTGACATTATTAAATCAATTTTGAAGACAAAGGAAATGCTAACCAGTGCCCCTATTACTTTGCATTGTTTCTGCCTCTTATTTTTACCCCCTATTTAGTTATGTATAGTGTCTATTGTTTAGCTCGCTATTTGCGCCATATGTAGACTGTATGGTAAATATGTTTTACGAAAATTATTAGTAGTAAATATTTAAATTTCAACTTCATATAAGTGAATGGCTGTTACCTTATTCTTCTTAGAATTTTTTAATATTCTCATTTTGTTTTTAAAAATGATAATTTGTAAGTAGTGATATTAAATTCAAACTTAGCTACAAAATTTGTTAACAGATGACGCTAAAAACTACCACCACATGTGCGAAATAATTGTGCAGTTTGAGGAAAAAATTATTAAAACTTATGTAAATATTTCAGTCCTAATTGTCTATGAACCAGAAAACAAGGTTTTGTAATGTATAGTTTTCCCCGTCAGCAGCGTTATCAGTAAGACGGAGTTAGTAAATAGTAACTATTCTTTTTTTCATAATTTTTTTTATTGATTTTGGGACACTCGAACAGATTTATTATTTGGGACATATTTATTCACTCTCCATATTATTCCTTAAAATTCTGTAATTTAATTTTATTTCATATTATTGCATCTTTTTTTAACCCTTTGATGAAGATGGGACACCGGTATCCCTTTAATATATATTTTATTCCTACCCTCTAATTATAAGCAAAAATGTATTTAGGAAATTTTTAATAATAAAAACGGAATAATAGTGACTAAGAAAGTTTGTTAGATTATTGGAATTATATTTTTACTAAAATATAAGAAAAAAAAATTATTCAAAAAAGATTTTCCGTCTTTCATATTCAAAAATTTAAAATAATTGATTTTGTGAATTAAAGAAACTTCATTTATGAATAATTGTTTATCTCAGACCTAAATAATTACAAATAAGTTCAAATTTAAAAAATTATTGTTTGGAAGTGAGCCATGTTTGAAAGATTCTATCTTTTACACTGAAAATATGCTGGTGTTTCATTCTGTTAAATTACGATGTTAAATATAATATTTTTCAGTTATTTCGACCTAGACTAATCTCAATAATGTTAAGGAAGTGTAACTTTTTAGTAATATTTCCTTATATTTTCCAACAGTCAAGCTTAATTTTTCTCTAGCAACATATGTACTCTAGCAACATATGTAACATATGCAACATTTTTCTCTAGCAACATATGTATGTATCTCTAGCAACATATGTACAACCAATTCTTAAAAAAGAAATCACTAGAAATTTTTCTTAAAACTACTCGTTTGACTTCGCACAAAAGTAATCACCACAACTTTGTTAATAAAGTTTTTGAAAATACATTTTACCGCCAAAGCACACCTTTAATTAAATCTAAATGATGTGTATATAATGCGTTGGTGTATATAAACGATATGAGGACAATTAAAAATTCAGAATAATTTGAGCACTTTTTCAAAGAAAAATGTAGTTTTTTTTTGTTGCAATTACGATTTATTTTTAAAAAAGTGTCCTCAAAAAGAACAGGTTGCAATGCAAAAGTAGCGCACGAAGAGTTTTTGAAAAAGCATAAAAAAACATGCAAATGAAATGAAAATTAAAAATGTTTTATGACTATAAGAGTATAAATTTATTATGAAGTAAAATTGGGAAGGTGTGATTATTGCCCTGAAAATGTGAGCTGAACCTTGTTATTTCCTTTAGTGCTTGCATTCTGTGATCACTCTTTATTTCTTTAAAATCTATTTAAACTTAAAGAGAAAAAATATTAAATAACTCTTAAAACTGAGTGTATACAGTAAAAATTTAATAACCATGAGTGTTTTTGATTAGAAAACTACGCTCTAACAGTTTTATAATTCTTTGAGAATTAGCAATAGAATAATCAAACCGAATTCTTATAACAAGAAAAATCATAAACGTAAAAAAATATTCTCTGAACCAGACTAACGATTTCTTAGAATGTTTATTTTCGTTCTTTATCTTTTAAGATTTTCATTTGGGATCTGATTTCAGTCAAAAGATGTAAGCTAAACAAAACAGAACAATATAAAATGCAAGTTTATAAACATACACACACTATCTACACAATAATTGCGTCAGAATAAGTTCATTTCATAAATAGAGTTTTGTAGATTAATCTATCGTTTACTGAGTCCATAAATATTTAATATGAATATTTAGGTTCTCTAATAAGTTTCATTTACAGAAACAAGTAAATAAATATTTTAAGGAAATATAAAAACGCTGACGAAAGGTTTTTATCGTTCAAAGTTGTAACTTTTCCGAAATGGCTTTTATCACAGAACTTTTACTTTTATCTGGAGTTTTAACAGCTTTTTACTCTATAGAACCTAACGCAGATGGTGGTTCCGAAGAACCTGCTGTAATGGAAGCTTTAGGAGAACTGGTGGGAAAATATGAAAATCCTAAATCGCTTTATGACTTGATAGCACATTTTCCTATCGATAAAAGTGAGAATATTTATTATTATCTCTTATTATCTCTATGAATAATAGCAAAATATTAAGATCTTGTTAACGTTTTAATTTCTTACATGTTTTATATTTAAAAAGATCAGTGTTGAATGTTTTTAGCTGAAAGAAAGCAAAATTAGCAAAAGAAAGCTGAAATTTTTTATTAGAATTTCATCCATACCGGAGTGTGGGACAACGATTCTGATTTTGGACAAATTTTTTATTGTTCATCACTATTTTCAAACTGAAGAAATTGATCTAATAATAAACGTTAATGAAACTTCGTTTTGAGGAAAACTATTTAAAATATACAAACCCTAATCTACATTCTAAATAAGTTTCCGGTGTATTTCCCTTCTATTATAATTTGCATTTTCTTATAATTTTCATTATGAGCATTTTTATTATAATTTAATAATCAAGACAATGTAATTAAAATATTTTGTCTACTGTCCCAGAATCTTTCTTACAGCTGTTTTGTATTTAAAATGCAGGGCAAAAAAAGAAGTTTTTAAAATTATGATTAGTTATGATATCAGAACATTGTGGTTATTTATTAGATAAAGACGCATTTATACAAGCTAAAGTTTTATGGTTTCTTACAAAAAAAAATAATAATTATCACACTATCGAAATGAAGTCTTCTTCTCCCAAAACTGAGTTATCTCCTTCACATTTTAAAAAGGAAATTAAATTTTTTAAGTCAACGCAATTCCTATGTTTTAGTTCATTTCTTTGAATATATTTTCTGGAAACAATTTTTGCGGCAATCTATAGTTAAAATAAAATATTTTAATTGTAAGCGCATTAATTAAAAATAGTTCTTACTAATTCATGGTCAATTTCATTCGTGTATATGATAGCAATTCTTGACCTTTCAAGTGTTAACTGTTTTGTTTTGTACGGTAGTGTTACGCGAATTTGCTTAGTGTCGCTTCTTCTTACACAAATAGATTCAAAAGTGCATACTGATAAAAAAAGAAGTTTTTGTGGGTGAAATAAACGATGTTATGCTATTAAGAGTAGTATATTTACTAAATAAATGTCCACACATTTAATTAAATTGTGGAGAATATCATCATTAACTAAACATGAAACTGAGACAGAAATGTTAGCTGATGTTTTTAGATCGAGTTAACAACACGAAACAATAGAACATTGGAGACCTTCCTTGCTTACTAGTTTGTTCGCAACTGAACACAGGGGCCTTGTTTCAGGTATTGACTGGCCATGATCGCTTGAGCAAGCATCTTTGCCGAATGGGTATTTTTGTCCTACTTTTTGATCGTACGGTAACCATTAAAAAAGGCACTTGCTTTCCTCACCAGAATATTTTGACCCTATTTACAAGAGGGAGCCTACTCCTATATTTTGGGGGTCCGAAATCTGAATCTGGAAAAAAAGTATGTTGATTCAGAGAAAATACATTTTTGCGTCTAATTTCGTAACTTAAAATATCGCCTGCATTAATAAATTAGCACATTTGATACTAGCCCTTCAAACCATTAAGATTGAGACCTTGGACGTAAAGATCTGGTCATCAGGATCAAAAGATATTTAGGGTGATCCATTTATTTTATTATTTTGTTTTTGAGCATTGTGTGCCTTATTTTGTTGGTAATTTACAAAGATTTTTAAATGAATCATTTAATAAAATAAAAAGTTTTATGAAATTTAAAAAAAAATTGCATTATTTAACTTGAATATTGTATTACTTTAAATTTTTAGAAATTGTGTGCCCAGACAGTGATGCTCGACTTCCTTACCCTGGAGATTGTACTCGATATGTAACTTGCAGAGATTTCAAAGCCCACATTAGGGTTTGCCCTCCAGGTTTCAAATTTGATAAAGAAGCTCTTCACTGCAGATACGGAATTCAAGTGAACTGCCATGATCCCGACAACAACAAACGTAAGTTTACACTCGGGAAGCAAAATATTAGATTGTTGAATATTTTTTTTCTAAAATTTTTTCTGTTTGAGGTAAAGTTTTTAAATTGTACATAACTATGTTAACTGAAAGTGTTCCAAACACACGTAGAAATTTTTTTTAGTGAAGTTACCATACTGTATGGTAATGACATTTCTGGTCAAAAAAAAAANAAAAAAAAAAAAAAAAAAAAAAAAAAAAAAAAAAAAAAAAAAAAAAAAAAAAAAAACTCACAACTTTGATTAATAAAACCGAAATATACGGTATTTAAACCATTCATTTGGTAACTTTTTCCCTCATACGGCAGAGATTTACCGGGAATTTCGGTTAACAAAATTGTAGTTTTTATTGCCACACATTTAGTAAAAAATACAAAACTGAAAGGTAAATTTATCTGAATAAATGGTTTTTATGCCTTGCTCTGAGATGTCATGAAAAAACTACTGAATTTTACCCCATTTACCAAATGACAGATTATGAAACCATATTTTATTATTATTTAAAAAAAATAATTGCCTAAAAATTGCTGATATTTGTGTTCTCATAGACCAAGGAATACAGTTAATTTTACCATATTCAGATATTTTTGACCATATTTTTTTTTCTCAGTGCATATTTATTTATTTTTTAAATTTAAAAAATGAATACTTAAATCTTTTCCGAAATTGTTTTGAAGTTTGTTTCTTTAAAATGTTTGTTTTAATTAAAATCTTAAAGCCGTATTTTCGTTGTACAGTTTATTTCTTTTGAGAAAAACGAAAAATTTTGTGCAGTAGTTTTTTTTTTCTATGTACAAAAAAAAAAAAAAANAAAAAAAAAAAAAAAAAAAAAAAAAAAAAAAAAAAAAAAAAAAAAGAGAGAAAAAAATCAAGTTGTTTTAAAGATATACAGAAACTTAAATTTAAAATTCAATAATTATTAGTGATTATTAATTAATTTTCATTAAAATATGCGGTATATCGTGAGAAAAAGTGATTTAAATACATTTTTGTGTTAAAACGATTTGCACGAAAAAAGAGTGCCGTATTTGCCCTAAGTTTAAAACTCAATATTTATTAGCTCTTAGCAACTAACTTTCTTGACAGTAAATGCATATTTGGAGAAAAAGCAATATATTTTTCTAGTTAATAGTTCTTAAAATTTTTTTTTCTTTTCTTCAAAAAGACATACAGAAACTTGGAACCCACACCTACTAAAACTTGAAATTCTACAGGTATTAGATAGTAACAACTAATTTAATTCAAATTATATGTTGTACCTAGAGGAGAAATCCATTTAAATACATTTTTCTATTAAACAGTTTTGTACCCAAAAAATATTGCTTCGTTTTGCTAAAAGATACATCGAAGCTTCGTACGAATTTCAACAGTTTTGCTCTGGCAGTAGAGAAGTTAGAATACATTACAAATAAAAGTGAAATTCAACATATCTGTGTTTCTGTTTTGAAAGTAAAGAAAATGAAACATATTTTCTTTTTCTAGGTGCTTGTGGTGAAAATGAAAAATATTCTGTTTGCGGACCTGCATGTGAAGCTTCGTGTTACAATATTAACAATGATTATGATGATTGTCCTAAAAGATGTGTTAAAGGATGTTTTTGTCAAGATGGATTTATTAGGGGTCCAAATAGAATATGTATCAAACCAAATGAGTGTATGTTTTCAAACATGGTGGAGCCTAGGTTTATTGTTAATTCTCATATAATCGAAAAAATTCCCGGAGATGAGTTTGAAATTTGAGAAGAGTTCAGGAATTAGGAATAAATTATTCATTTGTTTTAGAAATTTGTATAGAGGAACGACTAATAATTTTCACAGATCGATAGGTTTGTTTTTATTTATTTTAAACAGCTATTATTAATTTTGGTAGCTATAAACGTAAACTATAATACATACTGCTACTTGATTACTATCATCAATAAGTAACATAATAGATGAGGCCTTACGGCAAATATTAAATCCGTGCCTCTTTTCAAATAGATAAAAGCATTGGTTGTGAGAAATTTTTTTAAAATGGGGCTTCTTCTTATTCATTTGTGAAATTTTTTTATGCTGCTTTAACATTTTTTAAGGGTAATACAAATTTTAAGCTATTTTTATGAAACATTTTAAAACTATTGTAAGATTTAAAATTAATGAACTAAATTTTTGATGTGATGAAAAAATATGAAATAAAAAATATTAGTCTTTGAGTAAAAGTTTCAAATCTTACAATTGCTTTCAACATTTCGAATTATATATTTTTTAAAAAACTTTATATATTAAACTTTATGTATGCAGCTTTTACTCAATTTTATAAAGATTCATTATATATGGAGTATGCAAATTTAAAACTGCACTAAATTATCTGTAGTAGTTTTCGCGATGTATAATTTTAGAAATTAAGAAAAATTAAAAAATTGAATGCAATTAAAATTTTAGCAAAACTTAAAGTTTAGCTTTGGGAAAAATTAAAGCAAGTCATGTATCGCGTTGAAATAAAAACACTATTTTTAGTTTTAGTACCTTTATTTATTTAATAAATTAAAATTTCTCAAGTCTTGCACACGTTTGTATTCTAAAGGACGCTTAAAAAAAATTTTTTTTTGTTATTTATCTAGTGCTTATAGGGAACGGTTATTTTGTTTAGAAAAACATTGTTACCCGTGTGATTTTATAGTTGAACTATATTTTGATACAAAATATTTAATTAATTAAAAAATATCTTATTTCTTTAAAGGAATCTAAAATTCATATATACATTTTACGAAATAATACGCAAAAAATAAAAATAAAATACTGTTTTTAGTAGAAAAAATAAAAGTCCCAAACAATAAGAAAAATGTTTTTGAATAGTACTGCCAAAGAAGGTAAAAAACTTTAACGAAAATAAAAAAAATGAAGCAAACAATTAGTTTCTTTTCTTGAAAAATTGATCATGTTTTGAAACTCAAGTCATCGTCTATTTTAAATGCATACGATTAAATAGGTTAAACGCTAGCAATTTATTTTGAAACCCAAAGTACTTTTAGCAAATAGTTTTAGTTGCGTATTATAACATTAATATTGTAAAATGTAAATATCGCTCACAATGAAATTTAGATGTCATAGTCTTCATTATTCATCATATTCCATACGTCAAAAAGCACTTGTAGTTCTGACAAGATAGTTATGCATTGCATAAGTTGCATATATTCTTTAAAAGCGATATCTTTTTTTATGTAAATAGAAATTTTTTGTAAATAGAATATAGTTGGTTGCATTACATTATAATAAATAATAAATTATAAAAATTTCACGAAATAAATAAAATAATAAGTTCAAAGTAAAACATAGAAACGAACTGTCTTATTTTGGATAAGGCCAAAGATAAGATGAAACATACAAATAGATGATTTCTTTTTTAGTTCAATATTCGTAGTTTTGTTATTTTTTCCTAATAATGATAAATAACTGAAATAATATATATTTTTAATTTATTTATTTTATTTATATATTTATTTACAATAAAGCTATGGGCAGTGAGTTGCCGTTGTGAATAACTAGAGTTTGATCCCCAGCGGCGGATTGAAGCCGAGCCAGCTTCAGATCGATGTGTACCGGCTTGCCTAGGAAGTCAAAGTCAGCATTATGCGCTATGCTGACCACTTAGCAACAATCATGGTTATGAGATGTAGGAAGCAATGGGTTACCCTGGTTCTTTTAAACAATGGAAATGTAAATTTTTAACCTTGATTTTGTTTATTATTATCTAGAATTTAGTTAAAGAAACCATTTTCTTATTTGTCGTATGATATGTTTAATATTTTTTCTATAAACATATTAAACGAAAAATGTAATTAACTTTTAAAACGTATAAAACATTTCAAAAGTGTTTTAGTTCTTAAAAACAGAAATGTCTCTTTTCTGTAACCATTACTGAAACATACCTAAAATTATTTTAATATGCTTCACACAACGTCTCAAAAATATTTAAAAAATAACAACATGGAAATATACCACTGAAATTTTTATAATACGAGATTTTAACTTACTTAGTACTGCATGAGGATGCCATTCAATAAAATTTTACTTTTCTGTAGCTCGAGAAGTATATTAATAAAGGTAAATCCTAATCTTTAAACAAATTTTTGTTTAAAAATCAATTGCTGTATTTAAATTACAATTTTGTAATTCAATGAAAAGTTGTTGTATATGATTTAAAGAAATAAATTACGTCATTTTCAAGATATATTGTGTCTTGTTTTCTTTCAAATTTATCAATTAAAGTGCTTTGTAAGAATTGTGATAAACCCTTTTTTTAACGGTGACATTTTTACATCAAATGGTTTCCAGACAGAGGTACTTGATAAGTTTTCTAAATTTCCAATAGATAGCCGCTTTAGTCACAGATACATCTATTTAACCGCAAGAAATAACGCTCTCCCGAATAATCGGAAAATGTGGCTTATTATTTTATTGCTTTGTGACCCGATAGATTTAAGGTGCATCAGTCAAAATATTGCTACACTGGCAGCTGGGGATAAAACTCATGACCTCTTGGACATGGGCCCAAATCCCTACCAATCAGGCTCTCCCGGTCAGATATTTGTTCGTGTGAGTTTCATTAGATATAATTCACGCTTTTGAATGAACTTTTAAAAGTTAATTTCATGCTTAATATATAAGCAGAAATTGCCGTGTGAATAATCTTTCGAATTAAAATATTTGACCTTAAGGTAACAATTAAAATTATACTAATTCCAATTATACAATCCTCATTTTGCAAGCTAAAACCCCTCTTTATTGTATTAATTCTGAGGATTTTTCCAGAAGGTGATGGTAAGTTCAAGAATATAATGCGTCGTTTCATGCTCATTGTTTCATGCTCAATAGTTTGAGATACATGATGTAGACTTCACTTTCTTAAATTTGTCTCCACAATCTCCAGATCTTAATCTCATTGAGCATTTGTGAGCTGAAGTTCAAAACAGCAGCCATCACTTATATCCTTAATTATTCAGCGTAACACTGTTGGAAAATGTCATAAACGATCTATCAAACATTTTGCAGAGTTCATGACAAAAAGAATCAATGCTGTATTGAAGAAAAAAGGTGGCAAAATGAGATTTGAGGTAAGATCAAAGTAAAATGGCCGTTCAGGGAATTATTAGTTATTTTTATACTATAATGGTTACAGATTTACGCGTAAAAAAGAAAAATTAGATGAGTAGCTGATAAAAAAGCAGCTTTCTGCTGGTGTTTTAAAGTGTACAATGTGCCAAAGAAAGGACCAATCTGAATAACTTTTGATTAAATGATCTCCTCATTTTAGGAATAAATCTTAATGTTTCGAGGGGGTGACCTTAAATATGTTAATTAATTAATGCAGACGATATTTTAAGTTACGAAATCAGACACATAAAATTACTTTCTCTGAATAAGGATGAATTCATTTGGATTTCACGGATCTGGATTTCTGTTCCCCAAAACATAAAATATTAAAATATTTATATATTTACATATATGTA